AATATGCCTTGCGTTAGAAATTTGCACACGTACGAATTTAATCCTTAAATGCGGTGAAATTTTGCTTTTCTCATTTTTGCTCTCTCCCATTGTTATTGTATTTTTTTTTAACAACAGTGAAGACACCCCAATTCTTTTCTTTTTTTCACTAATAGCTACTATAAAATGTAGCGTCTTGCATATGTAATTGAAGAATTTAGTAGCGTCAAGGCAACACAGCGGAGGACAGAAGAAAGGATATGTGACGTGCTGCAGACAAGTATTAAGTGAGCAAACAACAGCAATCAAGTAAGTGCAGTGGATGGGGTGCAGCTGAAACCACACCCTCATCACCAGCAAGCAATTTTATTTAGTTTTGGCTCGACGCTATTGTGTTGTCTGTCCTCTCACTGCTGTACTATGAGACACTAGTAGTTGGGCTGTATGTCCTTTTTGTTCCTTGCACTACATACCAACGTAGTTGAGCAATTTAAATGCAAGCAACTGTTTACCAGGGATTTTTGGTTAAATTAAATTTACGAGCTAAAGCAATTCGGTTGGCTTAGTCTGAGTGTGGGTGAAAAAGAAGAAAAAAATTGTAAGAGGAAAAAATGAAATTTGATCAAAATGAAAAAATAAATGACAGCAGCTTCACACGTAAGAGATGCAGAAGCTGCTTGAGTTGAAGATAACTGATATTATACCTACTAAAATTATGAATTCTCTTACGAGCAAATGAAAAAAATTAAAATTTTATTAAATACGGGCTTTAAGGAAACAGGAATGGGCACAAAGTAAAAACAAATTGAAAGGAACGCTCAAGATGACGACAGTGCGTAAAATTGAGTTTAACGTCGTATGAGACAATTTTAATTTGTCTCCGAAATCGTATTTGTAGTTTATAAATGTTATAAGCCTCGGGATTAAAAAAAAATTTCAATCTTAAAGCAAGTGCTATATTTTAAAATAATTTTGACTTGGCTTAATTTATTCTCACTTTTTTAGGAACTTTATTATATTACAGTTATATAATATTATGTGCAGCGTTGGTTTCATGCTTCAACCCGATATGTGACGCTGCAATCGAAATATTGGTACAACTTCCCGCTAGGTGTCGCTGCAATCAATGATATATATGTGATTTCCATGATTCCATGACTCTTATTCTGAATAAAGATTATGGCGCAGAGTTCTTGGACAAAAGAGTCAAGTCGTGGCTAGAAACATTAAACATTTAATATTTCAAACGACCGTTGCTACCAGCCGGTATATTCCTGGTAGAAATTTTTTAAAAATCACACACAGAGATGGTATAAGCTGTAGTTTCCTCCAAAGTAAGAAAAAAATAAACACACGCACAATCTTTATAAACATATTTAAGGGGGGAGGCTTGTCTAGAACTTTGAAAAAATCGAAAAAAAATCTTTGCCTTAAAAGGTGCTGTAGGGTCTTAGAAATAACATTCCAAAAGATGGATGTCCCGAGCGACCTACAACTTTAAGCGCGTTTTTCTCGAAATCACTTTTTTTGAACTGTCCGAAGACGTAACTCGAAATAATCTTCACCGATTCTTACAAAATTTTGACAGTACATTCGAAATACCGTTCTCCGAAGACGTACGTAGGATCTTTTTCTTATATAACATATTCTTTTTTTTTTTAATCAACAATTTTATTTCGTTTTTTATAGTAATTGTTCAAACGTGCACCATTTCGTGAAAAATAAACAAAACGTCGAAAACATCCTTCCTCGTCTCTTGTTGTTGTTATATATTGTATTAAGAAACAAAAAAAAATATCTTTTGACCGAGAACAAAAATTATGAAGTTTACGTCTTCGGCCATGGACCCATTAGAAAAAAGGCATCTTCGGAGATATGCTGGACAGCGGCCATTTCGAAATTAGATCACACGAAAAATTTTGTATTTGCACGATAAAACCTGTATTATTTCCTATTTCACATATTTTGGATCGATTCCTTTGTAGAGTCAAAATAAATTCATAAAATATGCCCATTTTTTGCGCTCTAGACCAGCTTTTTTTACGTGAAGTCTGTTCCCTTGACAAGACAATATTGTCACTTCAGTGGGGACGGATGGGACTGGCAAGGACATAGTAACGTCTTGTCCACAAAGGACGCACTCTTTTGGTAGTTCGTCGGCTAGGTTATTACCATGGATGCTCATATGCTTTGGTACTGAGTAAATACGGTGATTTTTTCTTTTTCAGCCAGTCTTTTGATCGCCTTTTTAAATGGTATAATGTTTTCCAATAGAGATGTTATTTAAATATTACCGAGTAAAGAGTAAGATATGCCATCAATATGCAAGGGGAAACAATATCAGCCAAATGACCGCCACCGCTAGTCTCACAGGACCGTATCCTTTATATGAAACTTTCCATCACTAAGTTACATCTTTGAGGTCTTAAATCAACAACTTTTTCCTAAAAAAATCAATGGAAAATAAACGTTGTCCAGATCAATACCGTAAAGTTCCGGTAACAACAAATCACTAATAACCTCTTGACCCTGCTCGACCAAAACCGCACAAAACAGTTACACGTTGAGCGCGTTAAGACTTCTCAACAATAAGTCTTGGGTTTTCCGAGCCCCAAATGCGACAGTTTTGCTTCTTCAGGTAGCCATCGAGGTGGAAGCGAGCCTTACCACTCAATATGATTTTTCGATGAAATTTTTATAGTAAGTTTGAATAATTTTAATGCGTTGTTAATCGTTTGTATCATTCCATTTTTTTTACTGGCATAGTTTTTGGATGTCAAATATCAAAGAATTACAGCACCAAAAAATGACATGGACCGCAATAGCAGGCTATTCAAAATAACACCTTTTATTAGAAAACTCCTTAACGACCGCTTCGTGCAATGTGAAAGTGAAGTCGTAATTACGATTTGTGTCTTAATCTTTCGTTCAGAGAAAGTATATCTGTCAGAAGTACATATATCTAGCTATGTATAATCGAGGCATCTAAGATACTTCCGAATGCCTGATTAATTTTTGAAAGAAGTTTTATGTGAGAAAAAGAATCGAAGGGTATCTTCAGTTCCCTACCAATGATTTACCACCTACAATTTTTGTTGCGCTTTGATTGCTTTTAGTGCAGACAAGGAACAAATACAAAAAGTAAATATTAAAAATGACAAAAATCTTTTGCCAGTCTCAGAATAAAAAATTTTGAAACGAGAGGAAAAATTCACATATTTATTTTTGAGTAACGTATTAATTTACATTTTCTTAAAATTGTCAAAAAAAAAAAATTAAATATCAAAAATAAATTCTAGCATAACGATGAAAATATCAAGAACAAAGGATAAGCTCAATGTGCCTTTAAAGGCAATTACATAACAATTTTTTTAACCACTTTATACAACAAATCTGTTTTCATTGAGAAATTTTTTGCATGTTTTTAAAAAAAGTTTTGCCTTTTCAAATTAACTTTTTTATATATATCTTTAACAAATTACTACTGATGAAAAAATAAATAAAATTTTTCAGAATATAACATAATCTAATAGCTACTTCTACTAAATACATATCCAATATATATGTATTTTAATATTAGAATATGAAATACTTAGAAGAAGATAGAGAGAGAATACACTTTTGTTTTCTACAAACACAAACGCACAACAATCTAAGTGGGATATCAGTTCAAGGACTTCAATATTGTGAACTGGTTACGAGTTTTGCTCCCACTCGGCGCTGAAAGATGCTCATACGCACGCCCTTGCATTCCTTTCAACATTATACTCGTATACATATCTACAAGTAAACTTATTTATATATGTATGAATGTATGCTTGAGCATTTTGAAATACAATATATTCAGCTGCCACTGCAAGTAGCAAAACGAAATGAACATTTGCTGAGGTTATATAAAAATTTGCATATTTATAAAGAACAATTGGCCTTCCTGTTACCAGCTGAGCCGAAGGAGTGCGCCGGAGAACAAAGTGAAGTGGAGAAATCAAGCGCTTTGCTGCTTAGCATGGTTATAAAATTTAGTGAGTGCTCTAAATAGGACCAAGGGTATGTGTGGTATGAGGGTTGTGAGAAGAAAAATAAAATAAAAATAAATAGTTGTTATATAAAAAAAGACTAAAGAGATAGGGCAAAGGATGTAGAAGAAGTAGAGCAACAAAGTTGAGCTGCATGTTGAACGAAAGGGTGTAGCAAACGTTGTACCTTAAATTGGGGAAGTCAAGGAAGGATGTACAGATTTCAGCATAAAATGCGGCTCATTTGTAAAATGTTAGCAGCAGCTGAAACTGTGGTGGCAGTGTTTTAATGCTTAAGGAAGATTTCGCAAACACAACAATATTACATTATAATACGGAAACCCCAATGAAGATTTACTAATATAGAAATCTAATATATTTAGAACACTCGTTTTTGTTCTCATTTAAATTCACCTTCCTTTTTTATGTCATTGATCTAATTGTAAGGGTTATTACAAATTTTGAATTTTGTAAAATATTTTATATTATGTCAATTTATTTAAGTCAATCCTTATCATTTTTTTCACATTGTTTAGTTTTATTTCGTAATATATTATTATTTTTTTTATTTTATTTTCATTTATATTATTTTGTTTTATTATATTTTAATTAACTGATTTTATGTTAGATTGCTTTGTTTTGCTTCATTTTTTTTTCATTTCATTTTGTTTTATTATTTTTTATTTAATTTTATTTTACTTTGATTTATTTCATTTCATCTTTTTTTTTGAATTTTTTATTTGTTTATATTTTATTTTATTTGATTTTGTTTTATTTTATTTTATTTTATTTTCCTTGTTTATTTTATTTTACTTTATTTGCTTATATTTTATTTCATATTATTTATTTTACTTTATTTTATTTTGCTCTGTTTATTTTTACTTTTTTACTATTTTATTATATATTCTACTTTAAATAAGTAAGCTACTTTAAGTCAAATATATTTTGATAATCACTGCTAATATTTTAGGCTGACCCCGTACTGATTATAACATATTTTTACAGGTCTATTAAAAAAGACATTTTACTGCCGATTCTGGAGTAACTAAACTCAGGTATGTAAAAGAACTGGTGCATTTCCACTCAGTATGTGAATGAATTATATATTTTTCCAAATTAAATCGACAGAATAAATTTCATCTCGTTTTTACCCCAAACGAAATGCTGTCGGTTATGATCGTTAACAGATAGTAATAAGTGTTAAAATTGAGATGTACTGTTAATAATACTGCAAGCAGCTATTTTAAAAAAGATACGTTAGAAATGATTTTATCTGATTTCAGGATTAGCAATTTCATAACGAAATTAACCAAGATCATTCAGTTTAGTTTATTTTTTATATTAATAAAAAGAAGTTCATCGCTTTGTCAGTTGCACACCTCTGATTTAAACCTATATGTTAGGCAAGTACCTTAACTTTTGACCCTTTTGCAGTAGATTGATTATTGAGCTCCTTGTAAGCTCATATACATATGATTTGATGACCCGTAGTAATTAGTTCAACATCAAATTTAATCCATTGCTGATCATCGTCAACAGTATTTACCCCTTTTTCGACCAACTCTTCATTAAATCCATTATGCTTAGCATTCCGGTGGGAAATTATTTAACGAAACGCGAAATTTCGTTTAGAGTATCGCAAAATTACTCATCTATAATGTTAAGATGCGTACGAGTTGAGTTGGATGAAAATGAAACGCAGTGAGCGCTGAAGTGAGTTTGGGTGAGTATGTGAGTAGGTTTATGTTATAATCTGTTATTGTTGTTGCATACCTGCTGTAATTTGAAGTCATCTGTGTCGTTTTAAAAAAATTTCAATTTATAAAAAAAAATCGGTCCTAAAAATTTTCATTAAATCTTCTAAGAATATATAGATTCTAACGAGGTGTTTTCGAAACAATGATTGTGCATTTGTTATTGTTTTGTATAGCAATATTTCACGAAAATACGAAAGTGAAATTTTTTATACTGTTCTTAGAGATATAATTTGATTATATATCTTCTTATTATATTTCAGCTTTTAAACAACACAAATATGCCGCCTTGAGAAATATGTAAACTCAATCACTCGCTTGCAATTATGAAAAATTACTTTATAATACGATTGATATTGCTGGTGGAATACTTACGTAAAATGTATCCACTAGATGAAGGCAATGTTCTAATATGTTGTTAATGGCAAAGGAAATTTGGTTTTATAAAGTTGCTCCAGTGCGTGGCTCTGTTGTCGCAGAATTAGCAAAAAATTTGTGGCTGTGATCTAATTACGTTTTCTTTAATTTCTACATTTATGATGAGAATCGGGATGCAGTCGATCCTTAGTTTTAGCCAGCGATTTTCCATAGATTTTTATATTGTTAATTTTAATATATAATATTATTAGATTCCCATATAATAGCCTAATTAAAGTGTTATCTATTTTCCTAATATCAAGTCAACCGCTCTATAAATATCCTCCCAGTTTCACTTTCCGGAAATCTCTTCCTTACCGGATGTTCACGTTTATAATCAGCCGTGCAAGCTGTGCAATAATCCATCAATTATTCATGGGAACAAGTTTATATGCATATTTAACATAGATAGTGCTACTTGAAGACAAATAAAATCGATAACAGAAGATTTGGCAAAAATACTTTAGTAAAAACCATAATAAATCTTGAATAACTATGTTTTCTCCACCAAAGTTAGGTTAGGTTTATAATGCGGCAAATCGAGTGGTATTGTTAATTCTTTCAGAATGAAGTAAGGCATTTAGTTTTTATAGAAAAACAGACCTTTCATGAGCATACCAACAATTATTACTCTACTTTCACTTTGACTGCTTTTGACCAAAAATCTCATATTAGAACTTTTTTTATAGGTGGACTATATGAAGCAACTTTCCGATTTCGATGATTTTTTATTTCAACATCAATCAATTTCCTATTTTTCGAAATACTTCTAGCCAAAGCCTCATATCTGATTAGGGATTGTCCATAAAGCAAGTGAAATTATTTTTGGCATTCCAGGATCCCTTCCTCCCTTCATGTAGCTTCACGTGACCTTCCCTGCAAAACCTTCCTGTCCTAAGATTTTGTGTCACAAACATTTTCGTTTTGTACAAAATATTTATTAAAAAAATAATTTAAGGGGACCCTCCCCTGATGTTGGGCAAAAATCAAACATATTTTTTTCGTGGGAGACAGAAAACGCGGACGAACTTTTTTGCTACTTTTCTTCACTTCAATTGCATTAAAAAAATATAAATAATTAATTATTAATGCTAAATCGGACGGAAAGATCAGATTCTGGGCTTCAAGTTAAATCTGAAAACATGTTTTCGAGAAAAACGCGTTTAAAGTTTTTTAACAGTTTGCCTTACGTGCGTGCGTGTGTGAGACAGGTGCGTTCGAGAATCTGCTATGTGCGAGCCATTTCGTGTATTTTATAAACGATGTGATACTGCCTATACCAGCCCTTGCTGCGCCAGCCAGGCAGTCAAATAAATGATATTCTAGGTATTTTGCCGTATGGTGCTTTGGGCTGGATACTGGTAGAGGTAGTGTCGGGCAGAATTTTCCTCTTCTTCGTACTTAAAATAAAAAATTAACCGAAAACTATCCCATTCTTCTACAATGAAGTCCCATTCAACAGTGTCCAGTGAGTGAATCCGGCATTGAATTGATGGTGAACGCTCCGTCCGCGCAGTATATGTTAATGGTTGGTCCGATCTGGGTTGTTCCGACAAATGATCAATATAGTATAAATAAATATCTGCGTTCCAAGTTTGGCTGAAATATCTCACAAACTGCAAAATTGACTAATAAATTTTGCTGGGTGTCACTCTTTCTTTTTCTGATCCGAAGTGTGTGATCATGCTCATTAAAGGTATAAAAATTCCGAGTACAAAGTTCGGTTTAACAAAACTTAAGAACACTGCTTTTCAAAATACTCAATAACAAATTTCTGTATTAAAAACTAATTCAAGCAATGTTAATGCGCATTAAATCGCGAGTTGAAGTCTCAACGGTAAGCCAAAATATTTCAGCCTAAACTTCGATATTTTAATTTCAAAGTGATGCGTTATTTTCAAAATTCATCAAAATTGTCTCATTTAAAAGGCAATTATTATAATTATTGTTTTCTTTTTTTTCGTTAAAATTATGTTACCGAAAGTAATTTTGGCTTAAAGTATTTTCTCATATTTCGACCAGCACGCACAATGTTTGAGAAACAGGAACACCTTAAAGGACGAAAAATAGTGTCGAAACGTTTGTACCGCCCGCAGAAATTAGTTATTGGAAAGAGCTTTTTGCAGTTTTATAATTTTAAACAAAATCAACAGCACTTGCTTTTTACGAAACCCACAAAAATTCCGAAAGGAAAATGCTTCGAAGAGCTACTAAGCAGAATAGGACTTTAATTATTTTTAACAATTTTTTCAAATTTACGCCACCAGAAAAATAGGATATACAGAAATACACATCAAATCACTTAATAATTATTTATCAAGTATTTTACTTCACTTCATTTTACAAACACCTTTTCTTGCCAATCTAAAATGCCGTAATAAAAAATAAAATTATTCTCACCCAGTAGGATGTTAACAATAAAATTTACGCCATAGCTTCGCTGTAGTATATGTCACGTTAAATCCGTGCTTAATCTCGGCAATAAAGCACGCTAGCGAAGGATATATTGTAGAAGACTACAATACAAGCCAATGACAATTCTTAGGTAAGGAATTTATTTCTTTAACTTTACTCAGCACTTACTTGAGATGCTAACGAATCAGCAGACGAGTGTGTACATACATTCGTACAGACGTATTCATTTGTAAATATTCCCGCAAAATTATACGATTCCAGCTCAGTCAACGCTGAGCTACAAATAATAGCGAAAATCCTTAATTCGTCTGGGATCATCATTTGTGCTAAAAATAGCTAGGAAGCAGGCCGGCGCTAATAGAAGTGGGGGAAGTCTTACTAAGAGGTGTGGCAGCAAAATACATTTATTATATACATACATACAGACTTATTATATTTATTCCAGCGTGTAGTATTAACGCATTTGAGTGCCATTAAAGAGTGGGTAGTAACCCTGCAGGAAAGTAGAGGATAGACTAGTAGACAAAAATTCTCGTCAAAAGCTAGTATTTTGAAGCGCAAATCAAACCAGTTGATTATTTCAATGGCAGCTCATCAGTAACGGGGTAATAATAATTTCCGCCATCGTGAGAGTTTCATTCTCAACTATGCGCTGTTGTAATGCCATCGTTACGATAGACTAGTGGCTAGAGGTTCGCTGTAAAAATTCAACATGCTTAAAAGAACTAGTAATTAACTAGTTAAAACCTGTATGGTTGGGCAATTGACAGTTCGCAGCGCATAGTGTTAAAAATGCCAGTTGCTTACATGGGTAGGGGATTCAAGCTAGTTTCACGTAGAGAAAAAATCTAAATCAGTTGGATTATTTTTCCTTGTAGGGATGAGATATACGATTTCGTGTATGTGTACATATGTCTGTGTTTGTTGCTGTAGGTAACAAATGTTGTAAAAGAATATGGTTGCTCACACCAAGGGCTCCCGATGATCTCTGTGTCTCGATGTCTGCGTGGTTGTTTGCTATTTTCTAACGATTTATGATATGAGCAGCAACGAGGTTGGCGCATCACCACTCAAGTGCTACAACAAAAATGTACATATACACATATGTGCCTACGCTATGTTTGTAGTTAAATGCTTTACGAGCATGAAATAAAATAAATCCGGCGCCGCATGAAAATTGTATAAATTATAGTCAACTTACATGTATAATGGAAATTTAAGAGCCTTCAAGGTGTATGTAGCTATGTATGTACATACTCGTCTCTATTTTTTTTTTTGTTTTTTTTTTTTTNTTTTTTTTTTTGTTTTCCTTTCTCCCTTCATACATATATTTAGACGCAATTATGATGGGCTGCTGCGACATATGCGCTTTATGGCCAACCAACTCCTTGCATCTCTTTTTCCAGTTAAACATATTTATGTGCATGTGCATATGCAGCCACTTGCATACTTACGTCTACATATGCGCT